TCTTCTAAAGATTTTCAAACAATTTCCGAAAGGTAAGTTTTCTACTTGATGCCCAGTTTATCGAAGCTGGTACCAACATTTTCACAGCGGAGTTCTTGCGGAATCACTACAAAGATCACGACAGAAATGGGTCAGTGAAGGTATATTTGAGAAGTACTGGACGAAACCGACGAAGAAGAAGGGTGTGCCCGCAGAACCTCTGAACAATCCAGGAAAGGATACGATGACGAAGCTTGGAACATGCCAAATCACCATCGAACCTCATGTATTCGATGCTACCATGTATGCTATTAAGGAACCAAAGTCTGCCTTTCAATCTACTCAACAGCAACAAATGTATCGCCCAATTATTCAGTATGGGCCTCCGAATGGAGTTATGCCACCACTTGCTCCCATACAAGCACCAAGTCCGGCACAACAAAAACCTATCCAGACAACGCAACCAACGGTACAAACTATGGCTCCAAATCATCCTGCGCCGACCGCCCCAATGATTCTGAATCCTCTTCCTCCTGCGCAAGCACCCTCGATGGGCAGCGCTCCAATGAATGGACAAACCCCTGCACAGGGCCCAAACAACCCTAATACCAATTTATCTCAACCGATTAGCACAGCCCAGCCAGTCCAACCAGCCCAGCCAAATAAGAGTACAGATCCTGTTATTCAAATGTTAGCAGAGAGAGCTGCGACCGATCAGCAGTTGAAGGGCTTAATGAGAATCGTGGCAAATGGTGAAGCAACGTCTTCTGAACTGAGACAGTTTCAAAATCACATTGATGAGTTAAATGCGATATCAAAGGCACGCCAAAAGTCTGCTGCTCAATCCGCCGCCCAACCACCCATGAACGCCAACTCTCAATCGCCACTACCACCGTCTACAACTCAACTTGGTGGACCACCAAATGCTCCAGTCGCCAAACCTGCTCCACCACCGACGCCCGCTCCTATTAGCGCACCACCTCAGCAACCTCAGGCTCTTCGATCGAAAGGTCCGGTAGCTCCACCCAAGCCAGATATTTCTGGTGTTGTGTTAGAGTTTAATGGAGGTAACGGTGATCGGTACCTTTTCCCGAAATACAGTATCCTTGACTATCTTCCCGGTGGCCAAGTCATAGCCTCATTCCTCATTGTCCGTAAAGGTAGTAGCAGCGATTCCACCTCGTACGACCCGGAGCTCGATTATTACCAGCCAGTCACCATTCGTCTCTATACCCACCAAGGCAAACAACTCGACTCGTTACAAAAGGTCGTTGCCTCCCCGGATGAAGTCCGCAGATATATGGAAGATATTATGGATAACACGACAAGAGCCGAATATGTTCTATTGGCCATGCGTCTACCTAAGGACACTGAACCCGAAAAGGAAGGTACACCTGCAAATTCTTCAGATCAGCCAGAATCGGACGCCAACAACGCTAATTTACCACTCTGGCAAACTACAAATGGGCCACCACCCCCACCAGTAACAAAGCTACCAAGAAAGATTCTCACAGAAGAGGAAAAATATGAATCTTTCATTAAAGCAGTTGGTCGAACTCTCTAGTTGGGTGTGTCTATAGAATAAGGAAGAGATTTTAATTTGTTTGTATTACTATAATTGGAGGGCGCAATATGGAATGAAACGGGAATTTGGATGGATTAGGATACCGGAAAACGGTGGGGAAAGATGAAGATACTCAAAATCCATTTTTACAAAATGGTGGGAGGCAAACAGGGGGCTGGATGGATGGCGTATCAAGGCATAGGAAAGCCCATTTACTTATACCTTGGGTCAAAGATTTCTTTTCATTCACGGTCTAACTTATATTGACTTAATACACTGAGGTATGATATTTGAAGGTTGAGGAAATCATTATGAATAGCGGGTGTAAATGTATTCTAGGTTGAACGATAATGGGCAGGTGACCAAATTAGGCGACTAAATTAGGGGAGATAATACAACTTTGCGGGCTGTGAAGCCCTTCTTTTATCATGAGAGTTTGATGCGTGGTTCTCTTCGCTTTTTCTGGCTTGCCCCGATATGTTAAAAAATCATATGTTTGAGATATATCATTATATCTTCGCTTCCCGCATTTGTTTCCCTCTTTTGCTTTCTTCACATCAATCAAACCCTGATCCTCCACATCCACCCACGCCTCAAAACCTCCCATCTTGCAAGCGCAAAAGCTAAACCGGAAAGACAAAGTACAAACCCGAAGAATGAAATGAATAGGGGAGGAGCTACACGGGAGAGTATTATGGAAGCGAGAGGGACACTGAGGAAACATCTATATTGGTGGAGTGTTAGTATTTCGCTTTAATTTCATGAGTTAAGATGGGGAGAATACCAAGTGATAGGGAGTCACGAAAAAGAGGAGAAGGGGAAAACATACGCAATAGCGACTCCAACCTGACTAGCGCCCCACCACCTCGCATACACATGCGACGGACACAGCGCAGCTATACAAAGAGGGGCCGCACTCATAACGGCGCCGGAACCGAGACCAGAGAGAGATGCGTAGAGGTAGAAGAGGATGAGGGATGTGTAGGAGGAGGAGCTAGTGGAGAGGAGAGAAGTAGGTAGGAAGAAAGCGAAGTTTGAGAGAAGTGAAATGAAGATTAGACAGAGGAGGGCGGTGTTGTAGGGGCCAAGGTGGTCGGAGAGCGGGCCGGAGAGGAGACGTCCGAGGATGGAGCCGCTGAGTTTGGGGGTTAGTTGTGGGGATTTCTCTTTTTTGAGAGGACTGAATGGAGAGGGGATTAGAGAAGCAGAGCAGGGTTTGGAGGTTGGTAGAAAGAGGAAGACTAACGCGTTTACAATCGCGACAACGTTGAAAGAAACAGAGGTTGAAAATCCTTGTTGCAGTGCGTATGTGGGGAGAAGACCTATGGCGCCTACCAGTACGAATTCGAAGACTGGATAGAGGTATTGTTAGTCGTGTTGATTTTTGCTGATATAATATTGCTCGCGTGGGAGAGGGACATCATAACAGATGTAAAGAAAGGTGCGTGTTGCACTTACGCGCAATACCAGCCATACACCAGAGAAACCTTCCATCACGTAATAAACTCCAATCTCCCTCCACCTTTTTCTCGTGCCAGAACTTCCACCACGGAGCTTCATTCGTCGTATTAGTCGAAATCGTACTCACATCACAATCTCCATCCTGCCCCCGATGTTCATACTCAGTCCGAGTTCCCATTTCCCGCAACCCCCCACAAGGCAAGAAAGCCAAAAATCCCACTGCAACCAGCACTCCCACGCTCCCAGCCACGATTCTCATAGGATCGCCCCATTCTAAGCTTTCCAGCACAGCTTGAAATACAAACGTAAAGATGATTCCACCGGTCGGATTCCCCACTAACGCAATGCCTGTCGCTAGTCCTCTATAGCCTGTTCCTTCAAAAGTATTCAGCATCGCGTTCGCTACTGTACATAGGAGCGCCATGCCTATGACACTTAAAATTCCATATACCAGGAGAAAATGGAAGAGAGAAGAGCATATGGAGAGAAGGAGCAGGGAGAGAATGTATATGAGAGAGCCTGGAATTAGGAGAGGAAGAGGACCGTAGGTATCGTAAATGGGTCCAAGAGGGAAGAACAGAAGCAATGTGAAGAAAACATTGAGAGCTGGGATGAGGGAGAGAATGGGGAGTGGGGTATTGGGGAGGAGGTGTACAGATAGGTGTGAAAGGAGGATGCCGGTGCTGTTGTAGAAACCCCATGTTGAAAGGGTGAGGGTAAAAGAGGAGATGATTGTTAAGATAGAGTTGAAGGAGGGAGAGTGAGCTCTACATGAGAGTGCTGGCAATACGACAGTGATACCCTTTTCCGGGTCATTTGTACTTGATGATGGAGGTTCTGGAGATTTGATGGGTGGAGCGATAGCTTCGACAGCGATAATTGGAAAAGATCTGGACGAGTTCGATACTGCCATTGCCCCAGTTCTCCACATTGAATACCCCTCTGAGTTTTTGATAAAATGTCCCAGAATTCAAACGACTCTTAAAAGTAATCCTGTGCACAAAGTTCCATGCTCTAGGATTGTAGCATTTCAACCATCAAACAGAAATAACAGTCAAAGCAGAACGCATACTATACAAGTATACACAATCACAACAAGCCGCGACAACCGCCATCTGTATTCACAATATGCAGTACAACATCGCATACATGTACACTTCATCTGCCGCGCTTGCTTTACTTACTTTTTGCGTACCTGCTCTCTTAGATGCGCATAAGAAGGCAAAAGTAGCCAAGGAGCAGCATCAAATAGGACAATATCTCCGGGGCAAAAGTGCCTCATGTAAGCACGACATGTGTGCATAGTACGTACATGTAAGAAATGCGGTCCAGGAACCAACGCATGCGCCTAGCCTTGCTGGTATGGTATCTGGGCGCCTACCAGGAACGAAAGAAATATGGAGAAGGCGGCCGTTTGCATGCACTACATTGAACGGAACAACGCGCCGTAAAACAACGGGTTATTTTTTTGATGAGGAAAATTCAGAAACAAATTCGATTTCACGGAGTGAATTGGGTAACTATTTTGGATACCGAGTTTACGCTGCCCGAGTGTAGAATATTTGACAAGTCAAACCCACGGCAATTAGATTCGAAATTTGGCAGGGCTGAGCTCGAGGTTGCGGTTGATGGTTGGATGAAGCCTGCATCAAGATAGTATGCAATAGAGTTTGAACAAAGTAAATACTCATGCTTCTAGACCGCTCTTTGCCACCTCTTTTCTTTTGGCAGTTAACAGAAAGTAGGCGTTGTCCACACTTGTGAGGACTTAAACCATTGGTTCTACAGTGTAGTTTCTGATATTTGAACTTTGTTTGAATGTTAAACGTGACATTCATGAAACTTGTGGTGAAGATCACCTCAATATAAAATACCACCCAATGGTCCAAGTGAATACACATTACCCGAGCAAAGCCGCGTTATAGATACACTCAAAAATCAAAAACAAAATCCTTCAAACACGTACTTGGACCTAACTTGAAGCAATACCCCACGTTTACTCTCCAAAGAAATTTCGAGGATCGAGAGCCTTTACATCCACACCTTCGAGCTCATCTCTCATCACCATCCCAGCAAGAATCTTTCCAGTGCCTTGGGAATTTTGCACTCCCAACTCATCGTGTCCAGTCGCTATTCATAGTCCTGTTACACCTGGAACACTCCCCACGATTGGGCCTACCGCTTCTCCCTCTGCATGTTTTTGAATGTAGGGCCTGAAGCATGCTTGGCCTAGCACGAATTCACCATTTTCAATTTCTGGGGAAATTGTCGATGCAGCATTCCGTATGCCCGCAATCATACTTGGGTCCACTAGGACTTTGTACTTTCTGGTAGTGGTGGATAATCGCTAGGCCCACAAATATAAACAACCTCTTCGGGGTCAGATGGTGGGCTGGGACGAGGGTAGATTTCTATGTTATCTATGCTAGTTGCCTTGACCTTCCATTGCATGGAGTCATTCTCCTTATCCTCTGGGGATTCTTTCGAGATTGGCGGGTCAAAAATCGGGAATAAAACGTAAGGACTTAATGATTTTGAAGGTTTAATCAAGATACTATGGCTCCTATCGCCATATACTGGAATAAGAGGAAGCAATTTAGATGACCAGGGACCAGCTGCAATGATTGTATCAGTTGCGTGAATTTGCCTCTTAATTCCGTGTTCACTATACTCGACGGAATGGACTGCTTCTCTGTTCGAAGAATAGTTAATCGATGTAGCGGGTGCTATAATGACCTTCACGCCTTTAGCCTGTGCGAGGTTCAAAAGATAGTTGGCGAGGGATTTTGGATGAACTTGAGCAGTATCATCTGGTTTGTCAATCTCGGAGAATTCTTTGATCCCAGACTTATTAATCCATTTCAATATTTCAGAGCGATCGATACTTTCATGCGCTGAATGGCTGTTTCGTGTATCAAAGGCCACATCAGCACAGTGAACACGGCGATAACCCCAACATAAAGCCCCCTTGTACTTTTCAGCGAGCTCGGTGTGCAATTTGAAACTAAGAGGAGCAAGACAAGAGGGTGTTGCCCATGATGCTAATAAGCCTGGTTGGATTTAGAACATAGTTCAGCATATGATCCAAGTTCCTGGGGACCATTGCACTTTCGTGCATGGAGTTCAATCCTATATCACTAACCTCCAGCTTTTCCAGAAGACCTCCCGGCTATTTCTGTAGCTTCTAGAATTGTAATGACATGAATCGTTGGATCACACAGCTGGTGTTGGGTTAGCCAGTAAGCTGTAGAAACACCAACAATGCCACCACCAAATTCACGTTAGAAAGAGACCTAAAAAGGCGCAGCTGAAAGTACCTATGATAACCATGTTTTTGGTATCTTGTCCAATGTCACCCATCTTGATAATTTGAAAGAATGATCATGAAGGGATCTAAGCTCTTGCCAAGGCAGCGAAGAAGTTATGAGGAAATGTGTCTTATGGAAGTCAGGAATTGATGAGAGGATCTTGTATAGCATGACATATCTTGGATATTAGCTAACAAGTTTGGATGGATGATACGAAGACCCTCGAATTGATCAATCTTCATACAATCAACACTCGTCGTATCAATCCAGCCCCAACAAAGCCGGTCACTTGAAGGCATTTCCTGTACTTGCAGAATAAGGTTCGACGTGTGATTCGACAATGAATCAAATCTGGAACTCTCCGCTACTACCCGCATCGAACTTCATGTCTTGGGCGGTATGGGTGGTACAAATGAGTAAAGTAATAGCTTCCTCTTTAAACAGACGCAGCGCAGCGTCTTACAACTGAAGGGTTCTGTCAAGAAAAACCCCAAGGCGGTCAAAAATCAATGGCAGAATTGTCGTGACTTTAGGTTGGAGTAGGGTACCCTACGGGTCTCCTACCTACCTCACTACTCATGCGCGATGAACGAAGTAAATTGCACACTAATTAAGCAAAACCTTATATTCAATGTTTTAATCCATATTTGATAATCAAATGCGTTCAATGTTCCAATTCGAATCCAACAATTGAATCCTTTTCATGTTCTAGGTTAGATTGGAGATTCGACTACGTTTGATGTTTCGAGTCAGTTGAGATATTCAGATACAGATCTAACAAAACCATTCTGATGTGGTTTATGTTGTCCACATGGAGCCTACCGTCACTGTCCTGCTCTTTACACCTCCTCACTATAGCTTTAGTTATGTCAATATCGAGACAGAAGCATATTGAAGTTAAAGTTGCTGTAGCACCGCATGTAGACTGACAAGAGACTGCTATTGACAGTACCCTGGGCTACCCCTAAAGAAAGGACAATTTCCTTAGAATTCCAGTCCACCAATTCGAAAGTTCGAGATTTCTGGGAGTTTACGAGGAAAGAAAAGGCAGTCGATGATGTCAAATTTGGTACTGTGACAATCTTAGTGATCTTGATTCGTTCGGCGTAATGCTATTGCGCATGAACATCTCGTCCTTTAAGATACTACCCAAAGCGACAGTATCTGGACGGCCAGGTCTCACGTTTTCGCAGGAGATATTTAGTCTCAAACAAAAAAGGCGGCGCCACATTCTCAACTTTCTAAGACATCCTAATCCTGCCGAGAAAACGTTGAGATTTTGGTGTGTTCACATATGGTCGATCTAAATCGCATTATATATTTCATTTCGTTTTCAGCACTTAGGTCACCTGCACTTCCTACCATCGTCGACGCAAACACTTACGAATAGATTTCTTTATTTGATTTTCTTTATCTTTTGTTCAATATTTCCTCTCAATAAATTCCCGGTGGGATCTCGAGCACTTTCTTCTAAGCACATATACCTTCACACACAATGGCAGAGAAAATCATACAACTGGAGCCGACGATGGAACAACAACCACTTGCTATTCCGCAAGACAAACAGCCCCAGGAGCAACAGCAGCCACCAACGAGCTATTCTAGTCTTGACGTCGTTGAACAATCAGTATGGTCAAATAGTATCTGGAATTGCTTCTCTCCAAGCTCACTTTGTACTTGACCCCCGATCCCGCACTTTTGACCATTCCAGCCAAACTAATGCTCTCGAACACTCAGGTCTCAAAGCGTTCTTCTGTCCATGTTTTGTTTATGGCAAGACTCAACATCGCATCAACAAAGATCCCAATCTCATGGGATATTCACGATTTAATAATGACGTATGTCGTTATATGACAAATGGTTAGTGTCATACAAGCTGACTTCTGATAGTGTTTTATATGGGCGGGTGCTCAATGGTGCGGTCTAGGAGCCATATTCACCTTTCTTCAACGTCGCCAAATTCGAACGGAATATGGGATTGGAAAAGCAGGAGAGGGAGAGATCAAGGATATAGCTATGAGTTGGTGTTGTCATTGTTGTGTTCTGATGCAACAGGAGAAGGAAGTTATCATGAGGAATCAGGGTAGTGATGTTTTTCTACAGGGGTATCAGAGGACGGAACCAATGGTGATGGCACAAACCGATTGATGATAGAGGGACTCCAGCAGGAAGGCAAAACTAGGACATCAAATCACTCTAATGAAACCATATATTGAGAACTTATATGTTTTTCAACACTTTATAATAATACTAATCAGTTTCCATGATTCGAAGCTTATAATTACATTTGTGCACCCTTTGGTTCGAAATATTGATTGTCTGGTTTGATATCGACTCTTGAGAAAGTACCTAATTTCGGTGTCCTATTGTTTTTGTCCTGCTGGAGATGGGCAGTCGAAGTTTGGATGGTGAAAACGGTGACATGGTCGGATTCGATACTTGAAATGGAAACACGTATTGAGGAGCACGAAAAGACCCATCTGACTCTGTTACTAACTCTCTGAATGTCGAGCGTACATGTAATATTCCGCAATGACTAGCACGCTCTTCTTGGTATCAATTCCCATCCCATCCCACTATCCTAAACGCCATAACATCGATCCACACGCCTCCCCATCCTAGCACCCTTTCCTACCCCTCGCTCAAATCCCCCTCTTCCTCTTACCCTTCCCAACCTCCTCCTCCTTCTCTTTACCCTCTACCTTCTCCCCCCTCCTCTCAACCCTCCTACTCAAAATAACATAATCACTCTCCAACACCTTCCCCCCCTTCAACCTCTTCGGTTCCGGACTATACTCATCCTTCTCATATCCCAGCTTCCTATAAAACTTCAACGCCGCTTCATTAGCCGTGTAACACGTCAGAATTGTTTTTTCGACGCCGGGAATGGCGCGCGCAATGCTGGTAAGGAGGGACATGAGATGGGTGCCTAGGCCTGTGCTGTGAGGGTGTTAGTATCTTATTGGATGGGGGCATGATAGAGAAGATGTAAGTATTGGAAAGAGTAAAACGAACCCGCGTAATTCATCCATGAGATGTATCTCATAAAGGTAAAGCACTTTAATGCCATCCTCAAACGTAGGCATAAAACTCATAAATCCCTTGATTTCTCCTTCTCCTTTTCCTTCCTCTCCACGTTCTTCTATAATGATCTCCTCTTTCACCTTTTCCGAGTCTCCACGATTTTCCTCTCCTTTTACATTCCCATCCCTATCCTCACCCTCATCATCGACCCACTCTCCCTCTCCCTCACCCTCCCCAGCCCCAACCCCAACACCCACCTCCCTCACAACCAAATACCTCAAATCCCACAACTCCATTTCCCTCTTCTTCCTCCTCGCATTCCACCCCCCCTTACTCTCCCTATAATGTTTCCCCGACGTCTTCTCAACCAACTCCAAAAAAGCCGTTAGATCTTCCCGACGTAGCGTACTAGGTTTATACAAACCCAGTTTATATGATTTCACCGCTTCATCTTCAGATTTCGGTGAAGGGTTGTAGAGAGCATATGAAGATCTACCAGATATTAGAAATGTAAAACTTGATAGGTAAAATAAGTGAGAAAGGGGAATTATACCGAGGAGGCATGTAATCACGTTCAAAATCCTCGAGAGATTTCGCGCATGCGATTGCGATGGAATCTGAAGTAGACATTTTTCGATCTTTCCTATTATTCGGAAAAATCGACAATTTTGATGCTTGGTCTATGATGAAGAATCAAAACTCCATTGTGAAACAGTTTCTCTAGGTGATAAATTCGTTTCTCATTTCGAATCTAATCTACCTCACTATCCAGCAAACACGTCTAGAAGTTCTAGACAATCTGCCCCGCGACGCGAGATCCCGCCCCGCCCCACCATCTACCCATCCATCTTCATCTAACGATCATTCTTTCTTTCCACAATTTTACATCTTAACCCTACAGTTCTCTTAAATTCCCACCAAATACTCAAACTCTCGTATCGCATCACAAAATGCGCACTCCCCCAGTACGAACCTCTATCCGTCTCAGCAACATCACACACCCAATCCGTTCCCATTCACTCGCCAAACCCCGACGGCCATCGAGTAAACTCGGTCCTACCGTGTCACTGGATCATGTATGTCTGATTTTCTACCTACATATATATAAATATATGAAAAAAAGAGTAGAGTTTAATGAAAAGATAGTTTCTCCAGAGATCCAAGGCTCTTTCACTCTATAGGAGGATTCTCCGGGATTGTCGACGGATTCCCGATGCGGGGTCTAGGGAAGAGACGAGGAGGTTTGTGAGGGATGATTTTGAGAGGAATAGGGGGGTGACGGATCTGGTGGGTTTAATTCCTCTTTGTTTGCTTGAAGATGTGTTGAGTTGGTCTCGAGATGGGGAAAATTGGAGGGTAGGAGGTCTTGTGGAGTGGCGATGATAGCTAACAAATGCATGGGGTGTAGAGCCAAATCAAGTACTTGATTGGGACAGGTAAAACGCAGTGGGAGGGAATGGAAAGGTATATTACTGGGATATGATGTATTATCTAGGTTGTGGGAAAGTGATTTAGGGTGGGAAAAAGGTTGTGTATATATGCATTAACATGGAGCAGGTGGTTATGGAGTATGGGTATTTGAAAATAATTATCGAGGTTTGTAAATGGCGTGAGCAGACTTCTTTTACGGGCGGAAAGGAGTATCTGAATCCTCAAAAGGCTCTATATATTCATTTGCCTGGCTTGTAGATTTTATTTGTTTGTATTCTTTTCTGATCATGTATGTGCGGAGGTGATTCTTTACTCTGCCAACATATCTACTACCTCCCTCAACGCCATACCCAGCATCTAGTGCGTACTCTTCATATAGAGTGATACGCATATCGTACATCTCACTCCCCATGGCTCTTTCGTCGAAAGCTCAAAATCCTCATGATTCTGGGCAACCCGCAATTCCGCATCGTATTCGATTAAAGTCTCCCGTTCTCTGCTCTCCAACTTGGTATTTCGCATCCCGTATAAATTCAATCATCTATTTTCCTTGCCTCTGCTTGTGCTTGGGGTTCAACGAACAAATGATGTAAACATGTCCCTTCCCCGATTTTCCGCCCTTTCTTCTGACGCTCTGTAATGTTACCACATTAGCATCCATCTATCTGGTCCCTCATAGTCGCAAATGCCCCAAAAGTCTCCACAGCGCTTTCCTCGCCGTCTTGTTCAATTTCTTCTCTCTCCATCCCCGCACAAATCCAAAGCTTCTTCCCCCAGAAATAAACACAAAACATACCTTGCACCCCTCACACAACTTCTTCACCGAGCTCCTAACCTTCATGCCCCTAACTTGTTCTGCCCCCTTTCCACTCGCGCCCAAACTCGCACTCTCCTTAACCCTCTCCATCAAAGCCAATGTTGGTCTCTTCGCCATCTGCATCGAAGCAAAACATCTTGCGCCAGCCAATTGTGTACTTTGCACTCGTCCGAAAGCCGGGAAAACCATGCGAGCTGTGCGGAGAAACATGGTTGAAGGAATCATTTTATGGATTTTGGGGTTGATTTGATATATCGAGGGATATCCGCTGACCAAACTGCTCGTTATTGCGTTCTTGGAGTGGAGTGGACTGATATATCACAATGGAGGGACTGAGGATTTTAGAATGACGCTAGTGCACGGCCGTTTTCCATCGAAGTGACTCCCGGTGAGCTTGCTCTCTTCTAGTAAGAATCGATTTATTTGAACCATGAAGCATTTTCACAAATGATTTCTGAAAATAATTTCCTACATATTCTGAACACATTTCTTCAAGGATTTCAAGACAAAGCATTGGCATCCATAAGAAATAAAAATTCGAACATAACATTCCGAGTCTCGGTGAACAAAACTATAAAGTTTTCCTCTATTCGACCGAGATGCACCAGACTCCAACTACAAAAACTTTCCAAACCACTCCACCAAAACCCCATAAGCCCTCTCATATTCCCTCCGCTTCACCTCATCTTCCAAATCCGCTCTCGCGCTCAAAAATCCATGTACCTGATCCTCAAACGTCTCAACATATTTTTCCTCCACCTTCAACTCTTTCTCATAAGCATGCATATCTTTCCTTTCCTCCTCCGACGCCAACACCACGTGAGGAATTGTAATCTTCCCCGCGTCTTCTACGTCCATCATACCGGGATGCAATTGAGCTGATACTTTCCATGGACTATTTGGACCGGATGTTATGGCGATGACTTTTCCGCCCCAGCAGTACTGTATCGTTAAGTTAGTTCTTAATTGTATCAAGGAAATCCTGAGATAGATGGTAAGGAAAGAAGAAACATACCCCCACAGCACCCCAACTTTTCTCTCCATATTTCTCTTCAATATTCTGCAAAATACTCGGAATCCTCTGAATTGCAATATTTGGTTTCCTCGAAGCAAACCAATCCATAAGTGATTTCATTTGTTCGTCAGTCACAGGCGGATACCTAGAAATCCCATCAACCTTCCTATTTTTACAAAGACAGACACCAAATTCTACTCACCACTCCATCTTCGCCGGTTGTCCTTCAAAGAAATCCGGTATGAAGACTTGATATTCCTCCCCCGATCCTTGAGCTAGTATATCTGCTCCTTGAATGGTTTGTGGATAGAATCCAAAGATATCGTAGATGACTAGTATGGCTTTCTTTGCAGATGGCGGCCCTGAAACATCTTAGGGCATTGTCAATAGCTGTAATATATTCCTATCGAATGGGAGTGATACTCACAAGTTTTGAGACCGCCGATGGTTTCGTAGGTACCTTTAGGAGTGTATCCTTTCGAAACGACCGGTGGGATATTGCAGCACGCGGCGCTGTGGCCGTTGATTGATTGCATTGTTATTTTATGAATGGGAATGGAAGAAACTTAGATGTATCTGCTGGAAAGTGCCGGCTAGTCTTACATTTATGAGTTCCTCGCGATTGGAATCACGGGATAGCTCGTACGTATAACGTTGTTGAGGTGGAGTTCATGCTGACATGAAGGTATCGGCGCGGCGAGTAAGACTGAGATGTGAGAGACAGAGGTGGGGTGAAACGACGAAGCCATTTGCGTCAAGAATTTTGACACTTGTACCCTCTGTCGGTGTTCCATTGATTAGTTTCAGTAGATCACTGCCTAATTCCTTTTTTTCAGACGAATTATAATTACAGTTTACGTCGCTGTTAAGGAAATGCAATGGTAAAAGAAAAAAGAAGATTGAGATGGAAGCTATAACAGAGCGATCGGATGGTGGTCAGAATATTATCTCATCAACAATAGATATTATAAAGATCTATATCTATCTTGACAATGAGCTACATAGCTTCAAATGTAGAGATATCGTATGCGAGAATCCCCCCCTTTCCAACGCTACTCCAACAATATACTATATACAAAGTCCAGCTTTCTCGCCACGAAAATCTCAATAAGGGTATCACCAATCTCAACTGTAATAACAATACTTTGTGAAACAAGCTGTGCATTCGCTTGGAAGGGTCTGACCAGTCTTCTCCATAAACGCACAACCTAAACAAGTAGGCCATTCGGCATCATTGCCCTGAGTTGCAACTTCCACGCCATTTGCAATGACTCCCGCGGAAGTGGCTGCTGGATAGATCAATTGGGCAGTCGGGACATTGCTAGCAAATGTATATTGTGCATTTGGGAGGTAAACGATTGTTACTTTGCTTGTATCGCCGCAGCCGAAAAATGTGGCTCGCTTATTGTAGCCCTCGGCGACAAAGGTCTCGACGGAAGGAATGACTGGCATGCGCGTGAGACCGGCTGTCAGAGATTGTACGTATGTGGTAAGAATTTCGGATCCGTTGGGCCAGTTGTTCGCATCGTCTGCACTGTTATCATTCACGATAATAGCAGATATGTTTCTGTCCGGTTGCAGGAACGGGAAAATGGGGTTGTTTTGCAAGGCTTCTCCACCATCGACCAAACTTAATGTGTCCTGGGCTGGAACATTGTTTGCAGAGTTAACCACGCCTGTGGATGAGTCGTATTCATAAAAGGGATTTCTATAAATAGCATATAAGTCTTCGGTGGTTACCTCATGAACGCCGTCAAGAAATGCAGAAATACTTTCAAATGCATTTGAAGAACCATTGACGGGCGTTGGAACGCTGAGACACGCCTCGTTGAACAGACTACTTGAGGTTCCTAGGATATAGCCCAAGTTATCGTAATTCGTGGTACATGTTCCAGTTGGTACACCATTTTTTAGAGTAGTGCCAAGATATTCAGTTGGCGTGAAAGCAGACACGTCGGCATCCCAGGAGCCAAACTCATATGGAGAGAACTCATACATCGTAGCATTAGGACCGGGCTCGCATTGGCCTAGCCATGTCTTCACTCCCCTGCTGGTAATGATTGGAAATGGGACTGCATGTGAAGTAAAATTGGAAAGTGTGGCGACCGATGAGAAAGTGGTTGATTCGCCATCATTTGCGAGCAATTGATAGCTCAAAAGTCTCCCCCATGGATCAGTGAGAGTAGTGTGGAAGCCTGCTGCATCTTTTTCAAGAAGTTCTCCGACGATTTTGGCGTATGCTACGACGAATAGTAATCCATCAGGGTCGAAGAGTGATTCTTGAAACGCCGTTTCCCAGAGATTATCTCGCAACCACGAGACTGTTGGATAGTTGTTTCCGGCAAGAGATGAAAGAAACCATGATCCACCCGAAAGACCTGCTTGATATGTGATGGCTTGGTAGAGACCGCTTGTAGAAACATCACTGTCCCGTGCATCAAGACCTTGAACTACACCGGCGCTCTTTTGGAATAGTTAGTATTGGACTGCTTGGGAAAGATGGTCTAGGAGATATTTCGACGACGCATGGAGCGCCGCAGTTGTAAAGAATGTCTTTTAATAGAAATTACTGACCGACAGCAGAGATCGGTAGCCCCCACCACTGTGGGTAAGCGCGATCTGAATAATATTAGTTACCGAAGATATGAGCCTGAGATAGATATACATACCGTTGGCAAATCATCGGTACCAAATCCCGAGTTTGTCTTCTCCAGCCACTATACATAGAATTAGTCAAAGTTTAATTTCAAGCCAAGAGAAAGAGATAGGAACTCGTAATCTCCTCTCGCCTAAAACATAGCAAGTGAAACCAGGCCTAGGCTTAGGTGAATCAAAAAGACAATGATATTTCGTACCGTTTTCAAAGCGACATCCGCAATAGCTTTTCTCGATACTCTATAGGATTCCTCATTGTCTGAAAGACCATTTGCAGGTCTAACAAGTGATACCCCTGAAGGGCATGTCACAGAGGTGGGCGCGTAAGAAGCGCTAACCACGCTACTCCCCGTCAAGAATCCAAGTAACGAGGATATTGACCAAACCATTGTTGCTTTGAGATTCCAAATCGAGTGTTGGTTTTGAAAAAGTAGATTGAGAGACTGGAACTTAGAAAGGTGAACTCGGAGTGCAATAAAGAACAAAGAAGAGAAAAGAAAGGTCTCCTTGAATCACCGAATCCAGATAGGATATGATGTGAATAGCAGTCAGCAATCGATCGACTGCATGAAGATTGGCTGATATTCAGAAGGGAGGTGTGCTTATTTGTACCTGAACGATCGACCTAGCTTTTGATGAAAGATAGACATACTCTATATATGGTCCAGTTTAATAAAGTTGGGGGAAGGGAGGGTTTAGTGCGACATCTGGTCTGTTCATGAGTGGGTGTACAAAAATACAAATTTGGGTCTTCCAAACGGTCACTGGAATACCTTTCAGGTCCATAAGTCTCGGTGAAGATAGGATCGGCGGCAGGCTGGTGGATTAGATAGCAAACGCCCCAATAAATCGAGGTTACCATCACACATTTTTGACGCAGTGACAATCGGACTATATGAATGGTCAATTTGAAATTGACCAGGGGCAATCACGACGTTGTGCAAACGTGGACATCGTAGCCAGTAAGGAATCACACGTGTGTGAAAGTGCTCTAGCAAAAGCGAAAGGCTCGTGAGTTCGGAGGACTTTTTACGCGCAAGGTGACCTGGGTACGAATTCGAAATCCGAATCAGGAAGCTCGAATATGCTTCCCTCGCTATACGTTTTGGGATACATTTCCGATGGTTAAAGAAATTTGAAGTGGATGGATTTCAAAGTAGGCTGGCTGCTTGCTGTCGGCACCACTGTAACAACGTCGAAGTTAAAGAAAGGATAACCGCAACCGATCAGACGGATTCTAATTCTACGCGAGTAACGCGACGGTACAGTTCCGTACGGATCGATGACTCCACGGCTAGCTCCATTGCTTGACTGATTCAAACGTGAGGGATGTAAGTGCAGTCGGATCGTTTTGAGTTTACATGCGAAGTAGTACTAGGTAACCTAGCTAGAGTGTGACTAGAGAAGCCTTCAAGAGTCAAATAAAATTCTAGAAAGTCCCTCGGCATTTGTTTTGTAATCGTGCATATCGTAATTTGTCACACGTGCGTGCAACTACCTACTAGGTTCAAAGGTGCCTGAGCACTGCCCGTCGAGTCCGTACCTATACGAAGTACTTGCGCCGAAAAATATAATTAAAGTTGCGAGCGGCCTTACCTAGGTACTGCATGATTAGGTACATGCAGGGGAGGCCACAAGATTGAGTCGGGGTACGGGGGTGCCGGTATTTGTTCAGCTGGGTCTTGAAAGTCTCCAAAGAAATACCTAGATCAACATACATACAGCATCACAGCCAGCCATAACTTGGCATCTGTCCTCCCTCACAAAAGTGTCTGTGTACTTGTTGTACTCGTGAAACCATTGAAAGAAAGAGAAATTCACCACTGACGATACTCTCATCGCTTGCTGTGTAATCATCTCCTTCGACATTCCCTCTGTCAATTGGTGGAAACAATGGTAAGCTAAAGAGGACAATTAGAATGCTCTGTAGACGGTAGTGTTGCCCCATTCATGAGAGTGGGATTGGCCCTAGTTTGATGTAGCTTTTCTTCTTTTTGAGGATGTCAAATCCGAAAACTTGGCCAGCTTGCAAAGTCGTAATGCAGAGAAATGTGCCTTCATTCTGGCTCTTGCAGGAATGGGCCCGATATCTCAGCTTGCATAGATTATTTAGCGTTGGTAGTGTATTCCAATCAGATCGAACCTTGTGTATGAACGAGATCACCATCACGATATCAAACAATTTTGGAAGGTGTACAATTTTTTCAGTTTAGATTAATCGAATTGCTGTCACATGTGTTCTATGTTACAAAGGCCATTGGGCCGAATATTTTCCGTACTGTCTCCTGTGATTTCTAGACATGACAAAAGAAATGAAAACCTTAAACTGCAGTCGCCTCGTTCCCTTCGCTAGCAGGTTTAGCAGCTCCGCCATCAGATTTCTCAATGCTCTGCTCCTTGCTCTCATCAGCTTGCACGTCACGTTGTGCCATTGGCTTTTCCTGAACTTCTGGCTCTGCTTTGCCGACAGTTTGAGGGTCAGAACCTTCGACGTCTGGATGAGGTGGTGCGACTCCAACTACGTCATCCTCAGGAGGGTTGATCTCATTGCCTTGAGCATCCACCATGCGAGTTCTGGTTTCATATCTGGTCTTGAAGCTGACCTTTCCTTCGAGAGACTTTACCGCCTCAGGATCAAGGATATTGCCGTCTTGATCTCTGTATTCAACCTTCTCTTCGCGGGAAACAACGCTGTGACTAGCGACAGGGGCAGCTGGCGGTGGAGAGACCAAGCCTTCTGGTTTCCCTTCTGGTGCTCCTGAGACATTCTCTTGTTCTACAAGGGGTTTCTGCTCGCCAGCCCCAGCCTGTGCTGGGATTTCAGCAGCATTAGTTGGGATCAATGGCGAGTCTGTCTTGTGGACGTCGGCGTTCGCATTGATAGACTGAGTTGCATAATCAGAGTACTAAAAGGATTAGCGCATGTTCTCAATGTGACCAACTAGAAGTAGTCGTGAATAAAAATAAAGTTGAACTTACATTGTTCAGGAAGGTATTGCAATCCCAGTCCCACTTTTCGAAAAGTTTGACTTGTTTGCAGGCTGATTGTGTCCATGGATTGCCGTATGCCAATGGAGAGTAGAGAGCAA